CTCAAGGTGTCAGATCTGCGAGCTCCTCCCAAGGAACATGTGTAGTGAAATTGTGCAATCAGAGGGCGAGAGCAGCATAGCTTGCAATATGCAAGGCACTCTGGCAACCTTCAACGCTAGGAGAAGCAATCCGCAGATGATGATGACAGCAGAAATACTCAAATAAGGACAGGCGCCAGTGACAGTGCACGTGTCAATGTTCAGCACATTTGTCTGATTTAGGAGCAGTGGAGCTTCATTGGAGGTGCAGATAGAGCAGAGATATCAAGCCCCCTTTGAGCATGCATTGCATTTGACGGAACATGGGTCGGCTCAAATGATTGGACTCTTGCTTGGGAACCCATTCGAACATGGTAAGCAGCCTGTTGAACTCTTGGCCGAGCTTTGCAAGGCACTGGACTTGGATTCCATGACTTCCTGCGCGGGATTGTCCAGAACGAACACGCCCAAGCGACTTGGGCGCCGGTTGTTCGGGATGCCACGCCAAATTGCAGACATGCTGGCAACCAGCGAAAGCAAACACTTCCCATGTGAGGTTGTGCCCCACCTCCAATTTTTAAATTTTTAAGAGGCAATTCGCCCAGGGCTGCGGGAATTGTGCGGAGTTCAGCACACGTCGTGTGCTGGACCTTTTCTGCCAGGTCGCTGCAGCAATTACAGGCACAGTTGGAGGTCGAAGAGGCGAACTGTGGTTTGCCTTTATTTTCCCGTGGCCACTTTGACAATCATGCAGCCAATCATGAAATTGCGATTGGCCCAGACTTCAATGTTTGTTTGTGATGAACCATTACTGACTTACCTGTCAGGCTGCCTTGGCTGACTTGGCGGACATGGCGGGCACGAACTCTGTGTCCGCAGACTCTGAGTTCTCCGACAATTTCGTGGGCAACATACTCACAGGGCAGTCTGACAGGACTGGCAGGGCGGTTGAACGCTGATGCTTTTTCCCCAGGTTCTCCGGGTTTGGAACCTCTGGAAGCCTGGCAGGTCAGGTGCGCTGCGCTGTGTGAAGGTTGCACCTCTCGACAGCTTGGATGGGAACTCCTGGCCTGTACGCTGACTTGTTGGGACCCTCCGGCTTGAGACCCACCTGGGTTCCTCCGAGGTGACCGGTGCGGGTGGTTTTTTGATTATCAACATCATTTTTGCCCCTGAAACCCGGGTGCGGGGCCCGGCCTTTTTGTGAGTTGGTACCCCTTTTTTGCTTTTTTTAGAAGGAAACCAAGGGAAAGTACTGTTGTGGGGGGTGGCCTAGAAAATGACACTCAGATCGCCATACACCACCTATGCTTTGATGCCCTGAGCCTTGACCAGCCAGGGGCTGCAAGCAGGTCGTGTTCAAGCAGGCCAGGGCTTGACATGCCAAAGACGCATGAAATACTTTTTGACGGTAAAGAACTTTACAACACTCCCGGCTGCTGCAGCTTTCTGCTTAGGTGCCGCTGAGAAGCAGCGAAGGTCGATGGAGGCAGAATTCGCGCCAAGCAACAGAGCGCCAATCGCTGCGATCGCGGGAAGACTTTTCATGGTTGGGACGTGATGGCTTTCCTGAGGGACGATTGCAAGCTTTGCCAGCTTGCCAGGCTTCTTTTCCCCACGTGTGCATCAGCAGTTCTTGGGGCCAGCCCCACTGACACTCTCACCATGAGCGTCGGCGTTGCCCCGGGCTGAGCAAACCCAGAGTCCGCGCTTCGATGCCCTTGTGAAGCAAGTGCGTGTGGATTTGTCTCCAAATGGGGGCGCCCACAAAGCTGGCTTCCCCTTGGTTTACCTCTAAAGCAACCCTAAAAAGGGCGCCCTCCCTTTTGGAGGCAATCTCCATGTACTTGCTTGCAGGATGCTCTCGGGCACAGAAAGTCTGGCGTGGCTCTCAAATCTGCAGTTGCCTTGCCGTTTTTGTCGGCCGCTGGCGAGGCACCACCAGATTTAGATTTGAGACAGACGAGGAGGTCGAGAAGTCACTGGAGAAAGAGATCGACCGCCGGAAGCCCAGACAGGTTCAATCCGCATGGCAAGATTTGCATTGTCACGTGGTCTAGATTGACCAAGGTCATCATTTAGAAGTGGAGCAAGATGCACGTTTCTCTCGCTCTGCATCACCATCCAGCTCACTTTGCAGCCAGTCGCCTGGAGCACAGGCGCGGCTGCCAGTTGTCTTGCCACGCACTCTGCGCCGGAAGGCAAAGGTCTGTTTGATGTCCATGGCATGGGCCTACTCACTAGTTGTCCCACAAAAACGCAGGGGACGCGCCCTAAATTGTCTACTTCCTCTTGGTCTTGTAAGTGATGTCTGTGCACTTCAGGTTCGTGGCTGCAGGGGGCCTCAAGGTTGCTGCAGTGACAGGTCACGAAAGGCAGCCCTGCGGTGTTTCGGTGGTGTCACTGGTGTTGTGGCGTCCAGGTGGTGTCCCAGTCGTCCCGTCGTGTCCTGGTGGTTTTGTGGTGTGGTATCCCGTTGTGTTTTTGATGTTCCAGTGCCCTCGTATTGAGCCAACATGTTCGTTGGAAGTGTGAAAGATAGAAATGGACTTCAAGCTTGTGGTAAGGGAGTAAAGCGTTGGGGTTGAGAATCAAACTGGACAGGGGGAAGATTCATCCAACCATGACACAGCCAGCATTGCAAGTTTACAACCCTAAATTCATAGGGTCAACAAATTCACAAATTCATTGGGAAAGTCAACCAATTCAGAGGGAAGATCTACCATGCGGAGGGCCACAAAGGCAACAGGACATCACGAAAAACACGAATTCGGTACAGTGGGAACCACTGTCAAACCGACACTCCAGAGCACCACCAAAACACCAATGGCGCATTACTGGAACACCAAACACGGATCCTTGCGAATGATTTATTTCTGGGGAGCGCGCCACATTTCAGTTTAAGGGTCTCGCAAGTAATTTTAGATTTGGTCTTCCAATTCTTGCGATGCTACAGCTTCCCTCTGAATTTATGGACCTTCAAGAATTGGGAGTTTTCATATTTTAAACACTGTTGTTGTTGGATGCTCGTTGGCATGTTACAGTTTCATCCCCAACCCCACTTATATGCTGCAATTCCTTTTGTACCTTTCATACTTACTACCAACAGTTGTTCTGTTGTTGGGTTTTGCGCCACATTTCACTTCCGGATTCTCAAGATGATGTATGTGTTCTCTCAATGTCTCGCCTTTTACACGCCGGAAGATGCGCATTGTTTACTCTGGCAACATGCTGGTAGGAAGGATGGAAGGTATAGGCTGTGGTACCCCAAATAGAACCCTGGCAAGTGGAAACATGGACCAAAACCTGCAGTTTTCTGATCATACCCACTTAAGCATGCAAGGGATTAAAGCGCTTGGGGGCCTTCGCGCCGCATTGCAGTTGTTCGTGTCTCAGAAGCGATTTCTTGCAGATAGTGGCTTTTCCCTCTAACTTTCATGACTATTAAAGTTTGAAAAGTCTATATTTGCTTTTGTTCTCAACCTTGACATCTTCAAGTTTCCTCCCAACTCCATCCTGCTTCACTACCATTTGTACCTTGCTTTTGACCCTGTTGGCTCCTTTTTGGAGCTTTTTGCTTTACACTCAAACCAGCCCATGACTGGCTAAAACTTTGTTTGCTGCTGTGCTTTCCTACCTTTGGTGTGTCCTTCTGCTCAAGTGAGTTCAATGGGGAACTTCCTTAATGGCTGGACAAGATCCACGATGTTCAAGCCAGTTCGGTGTCTAAACTTTGTCGCCGGGTGTTTTAGGACCCAGCAGAGTTGTTCTACATCTCGCGCGCTGCGGTCAGCATTCTCTCACGATAACAAAAAACAGAAATACAAAAGATAGAAACAAAAAGCCAAAACGGGGGGGGAAACCTTGCACTGCAGGCCCGAGCAGCTCCAGCGGCCTGTCGGATGTGTCTGGCAAGCGCGGGAACCCGGCGAGGTGGAGATTCAACATTTAGGCCCCCTGGTTTGAGGTGGGGTTCCTTTCCCCTTGTCCCATGTGGGAAACATTTTTCTCGGTTTCCCCCATGGTCATCCCATGTTTATCGGACCTTGTGATCACCTCCCCATGCCAAAAGGGGGGGGAAGGGTCTTCTTTGGGCTCTGAAAAGCCACAGGTGGTGAGAAAAACCTGCAAAGTGAAGTAAAAGTTGGCAGTGCGGGCGTCAAGGCCTTTGGATTCTGGGTTTTGGGTAGAGCCCGGTAATACCAGTGGTTTCTAGGACTCCATGGTGGGCTGCTGACTTTTTGGTATGTGCTTGTTCGCTTGCCGCCGTCTTCGACTGGCAGGAGCGAGACCTCGAGCTTCGGAGACTGAGGCTAGTGACTGGCTTAATCGAGTCAAGGCAGGTTTGCGCACCCAATGTGGCTGATCCGCACTTTGCCAAGCTGGTGACAAATACCACGCAAGCTGCGCACTTGTGGATGGCTGTAATTAGTGCCCTTGCCCTGGCGGCCGGAAATCAATTGAACCAAGAGCTTTCTCTTCGACCCCCTCAATCGATTTGCGGTATACGTTGCTGAATGTGTTGAATGAAGGGCCAGGTGACTATGCTCCATGCTCCATGCAACTTGGCGGAACTTCTTGACATGCTTGCTCTGGATAGCTGGAGTGCATGATGGTTCCGCATTGCATTTTTAACACTTCACGTGCCAGGCGGCTTTGTGCCAAGTGGTCACTTTGCACAGGCATGACCTACACCAGCATGCTACCCCATCATGCTAACATGTGGGTGCTGGCAGGGCTTGCCCAGTCATGCTACTTGGGGTCTTTTTCAATGACAGAGCAGCCAGCCGAATTCCCAGTAGAATCTCGTTCCATGAATGGCCACACAAGGCATGTTGCCACAGAAAGCTTGCAGACTGCTCTGTCCCCCACCCCAGCTTGTCTCATTGCCGTTAACGATCACGCTGACATGTCTCCAGCAAGCGAAAGATGAAAATGCCAAGCCAGCCAGTTGCTCGACAAATTCGGTTGGCAACCGCATGGTGCAGCGAGTGGCGAGCGAGTGGATCGGCAGACCCAAGGCCCTGAGTTCCCAGCCATGCCTCCGCTTTGCGGGGCTGAAGAGTGTGGATGAGGCGAGGTGCAAGGGCACTTTGCAGCTCCTTCGGATGCCTTGGGTGTGGTTCGAACTTTTTTGAGGGACCCCCCTTCTTGGCTGCTTTCTTCTCATTTTGGGGGCCTAATTGACGAAGGACACGCCTCTTTGTTGGCCTTTTTCGGAGGCCAAGTCTTTTTTTGGCCGAGTCAAACATGCGGCTGGTATGCACATCCACCTGCGCTTGGGGGAAAGCGGGAGATCTTGTGAGGTGTACGATCTCGTTGGGCTGGAGGGTTTGCTGGGAGTTCGGCCCGGAGATGCCGGTGAGGCCTGGAGACTCGCAGAAAACGGTAAACCCAACCGCGATCGTTCCCTGTTTGGTTCCCCTTTCGGTCCCTTCCCAAAATGGTTTTCCATTTTGCTTCCACCGCAACAACCAAAAAACATGGGTATGGGCCATGGGTCAAGATTAAACCACTAGGGGACTGCAGGCTTTAGTCCTATGTCCATGTATCAGAGTTCCGTTTGGGGTACCTGTTTTTGATCCACACCCACATGGACTGCGCCTCAGCCTGCCCGAGGCCATCGCCTTCTTGGAGCGGGGTGCTCTTGGTGCGGCCATCTTCAAGAAGCTGACCTCTCAGGAATGGACATGCGGGCTGTGATATATGTTATGTTTTTTTGTAAATCAGGTCTACCAAAGGTCCCAAGTGATATTCAATGAAGCAATGCGGCGAGTTGCAGGAGCCGGGCCAGGAATTCATATCAGTTCGTGGCCAGTCCGCGTGGGGACAGCCAGGCGGGATGGGGATGTTGCGCCGTGATGGAAGGAATTGGCAGACCAGGCGCCAGCGCAAGCCGGCCGCGGGTGAAGTTGGAGCAGACCCTTACCTCAGGCGCGTTTGCCTTTTGTGTCATTTTGGTACATGTTGAGAGTGATGTTCACCAAAGGGTCCCTTATAAACGACACTTTTTCCTTGGTTTCTTTGGGCTGTTGGCCTAGGGCCCAGAGCTCCTCGCCCCAAGCCGCAGCTGGATGCCTGGGAGTCCAAGGCCTTGATTGTGAACCCGGTCGACCGGGTGTGGTGTTCCGAGGCTACGAAGCTTGCTATACTTGCAAACTAGGCAAGTGTAAATACACGTGATATGCTAGAGAAAGGATCTTCGTTCTATTTTCTGTAGACAGACTTAAGCAATCTCCGGGAGGAAAAGGGGACTTGGCAGGGGATTTTTTTGTGCCCGGCATGTGAGCACACGCCTGTGAGCCAGGAAGAAGCTGTTCCCGAGAACTGGGAAGACATGTGAGACGATGTGCCTCTGGGGTGGAGCCGTCAGCAAGGTTGTAAACCAGAATTCTAGCTGGCCATTTTTCTCCGTGGAACTCTAGCCACCTGGAGCCTCCATGACCCTTAAAATATGGCTCCATGACCTGATTATTTTGGGTAATGACCTCATTTCTAAAGGGTCATGGAGACTCCAGGCAGACTTCAATGGCAGGCAAAGCTTCAGAGACCGTGGCCATGAGCCAATGTACAGCTTGAAGTGAATGCCAAACGCCCGGGGCGGAACAGTACGTGGGCTGGACACAGTACTCCAGAGAGCCAAAAACAGAAATACGCATGTCCTCAGGTCGGCTGACTCAAAGCTTTTTGTCAGCTTTGCTTGGTATTAGCCGACGTTTAGGGCTGCTAGGGTGCTGGCTTAGCCACTGCCTGTACAGTTGACTGGCAGCAGTCGGAGAAATGGCTTTGGGGCTCAATTCGCAGTCGCCGCGTTGTAACAGCGACGAGGTTTTGAGGGAAGAAACGGATGTATCTTGCAGCCACTGTTGTGTGGTATTTTGGAAAAATTTGGTGGGTGTTTGGCAAGAATCTTGACAGGAATTCCATTCAGGATTTCGTATAGACTCTGCTCGATTTTCCGGGCTCAGCGAAGCTTTGCAGTGCCGTGTCTTGCCGTGCTAGCATCCCAGGCAGGTGCTTCGCATTGGCATCAGCAAAAACGATGAATCTCCTGGCTTTATGCTGGATGCAGGAAACTGCTGCCAACATGACCGTCAGCGAACAGATGTTCTTTCCGATTCGCGAGCTGTCCACTTACCAGGCAGCAATGAAGATTCATTGCGGTAGACCTCGCACAGTTCGCTTTGCGTCAGGGCTCCAAGTGGACCATCAAGGGCAGGGTGACAAGCCGCGCTCCCATGTGCCCTGGCTGCATGCTTTTTTTTCGTCGGGAGGCGGCTGTGCCAACGTACATCAGGAGAACTTTCCAGCAGCGCAATGGCACTGGTCAGGGCATGGTGCCGCCCTCACAGTTTTTTTTGGGTTGTCCAGGCTGTATGAAAACGAGTCAGGTCTTCCATGTTGAGCTCCTGGATAAGGAAGGCCTGACCCGGGCTTTGGGTGGGTTTACTCGTCACTGGCATGTGTTTCGAAAGGTGGTGAGATCCGCGCGAGCTTCTTCAATGAAGCTGCGGAGAAGCTCTATGACCTCATGGAGGCGCGGTTTTGGCTGCGGGTGCGTCGCCTAAGTTCTCACCGTCCATTGCGTCACAGATCAGAACTCGACTCAAGGTGGGCAAGTGCTTCACGCTGAGCAAGGGAAGTGTGCGAATCGCGAACAAGCAGTACAACACCTGCCATGCTCTGAGAGCTCTCTCTTTCGTGGAGTGAGACAGACCGTGAGACAGGGTCAACCCAGTAAACCAAACCGACAGCCAGCCCCCACTGTGGACAGACTAACGCCTTTTTTTAATGGATCTTCTTGCCAACGCAAAGATTGAACCCATCCGCAATGTTTCTCACTCGAGCCCTAAAACACGCATCTCGCCACCAAAATGACACCTTGCCACCGTAAACCAACCGCAAAGTCGCCCAAAAACAACGCTCGATCCATCCGAATCAAGGACTCGGGAAGCAGAGAATGGCTGAGGCAAGCACCGTTACGAGCTGGTCTTTGACAAGATGTGCCAGGCAATCGGACCTCGTGCGCCATTCACAGCGGATGATTTCGAAGCCTGGATCATTGGGTTCATTTGTGGGGCAGGTGGATCCCGTCGAAGATGACAGCAGCATTGACACTGTAAAGCAGATGCCTCACATTGCGGCAAGGCAACCCCCAGCTGAATCAGTCAGCTGAACGTATGTGCTACCGTTGTCAGAGCTGAGGTTTGCAATTGAGAACATCCGCTCAGTGCCGATCTCAATTCCAGCGTGACAGCATGAGCATTTGTCCATTGTGCAGCTCAGAGACGTTTGCCTTTTTGCACTTTCAAAAGCACCTGCCGAGGTTCAGGGGAAGACACTGCGAGAGCCTTGGAGATCCGTGCGAGCTGTCTATTCGTCGACCCATGTGCTTGATGGTGAAAGCAGCAAGTGACCTTGCTGATGAGGGTAGCCAGTGAGCATGACGGGGCATTTGATTGGCAACCAGTTCAGACTTGGTTGCCTGTGTTCCGAATCTGAAAGATGCGTCTTCATGCCCGCCTAAATTTCCCTCTCCCTCTCCCTCCCTCTTTCTGTTTTTTTTGTGTGATCATTCATCCCATAAACCCAGCGCAGATCCAGCTAAGATTGAGGAATCCTGTTTCCAGCATACTCGCAGATGCATGATATTTCCACCGCAAGCAGACTGAGACAGGACAGGGGCGCTGGAACTAGGTTCATCCCACAAAGTAATATGTTGACACCACCTACAACAGGGTTGTGGGATCAGGGGGTTTATCCCCACTTTTGTGATACAGGGCATCTCCCCCTTTATATGGGGGTTAGTCTTTGGGAAGCCCTTTCTGTTGCGTCACGGCAGTGGTCATTTGCCAGAGCCCTGACCTACAATCTATCAGCTGTAAAGTCAAGTTTCCTCTGTGGATGCGCCGCCATTCCAGGGAGAGATGTGCTGTGGCATGCATCCTAGGCGCATGTTTGATATGTTCGCTGTGAATTTAAGCATGACGCATCACTGTGTTGCAACTCTAGGGCTAGACAGTCTGCAGCATCTTTGGAAAGATGATGGCAAGACTATTTGGAACTTTGATCCAGAAGCATAAGGATGTGCGTTGCGCACTTATACAGGAAATTCAATTGTCCGGATTCGAGCGGTTGTTAATGTCAACTCTTTGATGGCTGCCAGGTCAAGCGAAGTTTGCCAACTAGGCTTACTTGATCGAATAATCCGAGGCTTACTTGATCACATCTACTGAAAGGGGCCCATGTGACGTTTCAGGAATAAGTGTATTGCCCATGTGGGATCAAATCGCAGGAGTACTGCTTTTTGTGGCTCGGAAACTATGAGCTTACTGGCTTGGAGATCCAGCGCACAATCACTTTGGTTTGTCCCTCGGTCACTTGGAGCGTCTTAGGCCTTGCAGTGTGGACATTTGCGGCATCATCACGGCGGCCGACCCCCCGATTGCCTTCGAGTCCAAGGATAAGCCCGGCACTTAGACGGCGGTCTAGTGACTACAGCTTGGGGGTTGCAACATGTATGAATATATGTATACACACTTACATATGAGTGTGTGTATATATATATACGCATGTATTATATATATACCCAGGCGCATATTCTGAATCCACCTACCTATTTATCTATCAATGGATCGATCGATCACCCCTGTCAGGATAGGTATCAAACACTTGTTAAGCATCAATAAGCAACTCATTTGATATCAAAAGCAACTACTTATTAGGCATCACTAAATGACGCGAGCATGGACCCCAGATTGCGCATGGGAGATTGCAGCAGCACCCTGATTGCATCGCCCACCACGCCACCTTGAGCACACCAAGCAGACCCTGACCAGCACCCACAACAGCGCCCCGCCACCCGAAACAACCGAAACAGCACCCTGACCAGCACCTCCACCAACCTGGCCCGAACTCGCAAAACGGCCTGTCTCCCTTTAGAAGTGAGATCCTTTTGTTGCTTTCAGCTACAGCTATTGGGGGAAAACAGCACGCATCGTGACCAGCAACCCTGACAGCCCCGAACAAGCACCGCCAGCCACTAGACCAGCGATCTGAGCAGCACACCTGACCAGCACCCTGAATAGCCTGCTAATCCGGTGTGTTGCGGCTTCTCCATAAAGATGCCCCAAACCCAGACAAATGCTGAACATTACTGTGTTGTACAGCATTTGAAACAAAGTGCTGATCCATGTTTTTGACAGGGGCTGATTTGCTTTGCGTATGCTACTGGTTCAGCCGCGACTTTCGGTTTGCTTTAGGGATGTGGTTGCATGAGTTGCGGGCTAGTTTGGGTTTGGTTTTGGAGCGTTCAATTCTAAACGAGATCAACACTCACTTAACCACACCCTAAACCCTAAAGCCTACCCCAAACCCGCCCAAAGTCACCCCTGAACCAGCCCAACAGAAGCTTTCATTTCAGCCCTTTGCTTCGCCTACATGAACCTCAAGCCAACCCAAGACCCAAGCTCATGAAGATCTAAGCCACCCTAACTCCCACCCTAAATCAAAGAGAGGGGGACGCTGTGAGTGTGCGCTTGTTTCACGTTTTGAGTGGCATCTCAAGTTGAACTATGTTTGTTTAAATCTTAGCTGAAGTGTAAAGAAGTTCGATTGGACAGAACAGGCTGTGTAAAGTGTCATTTTAAATACAATCATTCTATTTGAAAATCTACTATAGCCTATAGCATAGAAGTGGTGTTTGGATTTGTTCCTTATCAAATTATGCTTCAACTCTAACTTAATTGTTCTAGTGGGAAAGGATCCCCCTCCAAATTCTAAATGTAAGATGTAATATCCAATAGGGTTGTGATCAAGTATTTCCTTATTGACTACTATTTAAATCCTATTCAAATTCATTTGTTTTAGAGAGCAGCCATTGGTGGAGATGTGAATCGAGTACGACAAATGCTACAAAACACTGTGTTTTACAGTGTTTTCTGACCATGGTAGTGCTGGGGCTAGTAAACCAAAAGCAAGCACGATTTCGGGACCTCTGAATTCTTTCCTTCTGAAATCTACTCAATATCTTTATAAATGAAATAGACATTGTTAAGGGAAGACTCCAATCAAATTTTCCATCTTAAGTTAGATTTGCAAATTATGGTTATTCTATTTCAACATAAATGCTACACGGGAGTGCCTTTCCAATAGAATTGCCCTTACAACAACATGCATTAAACATTCCCGTATCTCTGGTATCAATCCTTGCGAATTCCACTTGATCTATTTTTCAAGTTCTACTTAATACCTATCTCACATGAAATATCCAAGCAAAAATTGAATTATGAGTTCTATTTCAAAAAACATGTTACGCGGGATCTCTTTTCCAATCGAATTGCTTTTGCAAATTAACCTCTACTTTCTTTCTTACGAACTCTGCTTGATATATTTGTCAAGTGTGACGTGCACAATTCTAACTAAAATTAAGAAGAATGTAATAAGGAACGGGTTCAACCAGAGGAAACCATCTCCAACTTACTCCCCCAGGACAGCTGATATAGTCTTGTTTTTGTTTTGTTCTTTTTTTTTCTCCATATTTTTTCACTTTCTTGGTTTATTGAGGTTTTTAACACTTTTCTCAAAGACATGCCAACACTATGTGTTTCCCGAAAGAATCAATACAATCACAAAAAGCGCACGCTAAGGGTGACCTGTTCTGAAATTCAACCAGCCCCGAGCGACTCCCAACTGCCGCCCAATCAGAGCCAATAGGCAACCCCAGGTCCCAGTGAGGCCGGTGCTGCTGGGGACGCGGCCAATTTTGGCATGGCTCAGTTTGTGCTTCATCAACAGCGAAATAAGCATAGATAAGGCAATCGATCCCTTCTTTATTTTGATGTTGATTCCATTGTTTGGAAAAAATAATGTGTCCACGATGTTTCTCCAATCTGCTTTTGAATTGGCTACACACATAGTTTAGATTGGGTTTGCTTTCCAATTTCGGTTTTAAATAGAGTTATTTGACTGGAGTTGATCAATTGGCTTGAACTGGATGTCACCTTCAAACAAGACTTTAAGCATGTGTTCCTTCCAAATGTTGTTTTAAATGGACATCAAACAGGTCTCAAACGGAATTCTATAAGAACATGAAGTCCATGCAAAGTTATAGTCGGTGCCAATGTCAAATGTTGTTTTTGCATGCAACATATTTGCCACATTCGATGTTGCACTCGGTTGAATTGGAGTTTTCCTGTCACACAACGGAATTATTTCTTGTAACATTGTGCTGAATTTTAATTTCAATTAGGCAGTTGAAAGCAGACATTTCTGCAAATTTGGGTCTAAATCAAATTTGATGGTCTTTGAGTGGCTGCCGTGAAACTGACCAACGGCAGGCGGATGTAGGGATTTATATATGCACATGCATTTATGCCCTGTGTTTCACACTTGAGGAAAGCCTTGGTGAAAAGGCAGCTCACGATTGCCGCCGGCGCCTCAATTTCCGCAGTCCAATACTGTGCAGTGGGAGAGATCAGGATGACAGCGCTTTCAGCTTGATGGTCACCATTTGGGGAGATCGTGCCCAGAAGGCCAGAACGATGCCGAAGGGACTCCAAGAGCCACTCCAAAGGAAGGTTGGAAGGTCATGACCCTCAGTTGTCCTCAATGAAAAGAGTAGGCTGCAATGACTCCCCTTGCGGCTCAAGGGGTCTTTGAGCCAGGACGACTCTGTCTTCCAGGGCAACCCTGTGGTGGCCATGAAGGGAGTCCTCGTTAAGGCGGCGACTTGACCCTTGCCAGTTGGCTGGATGCACCATCCGTGGACTTGGTGAGGCTATCGCAAGTACGTGTTGTGAGCGAACTTGTGCCGCACCAAATCATTAACAGCAAGTCTGACAGGAGTGGCAGGGCGGCCGAAGCGGTTCTCTGATGGAGGCGCCTTTTGTGGGGTCTGGTACTTCGAAAACGCGTGACTTCCGCGTGTTTTTTTTTCACTTCGCTCAGCTCCTTTGCTGCTGTTGTACATGCAATGCTTGAAGCATGCTGCTTCACATGAATTGCCGTTGATGCTCTGTGTTTTGTTCGTCGTCAGCACGCCTCTTCGCATGCGCTGCTTGACAGACCTTACACATGCAGTGTGTGCCACATACAGCTTCATGGCATCAGGTGAGACCGGGCCATTGAGTTGCTGGATCATTCTTTTTACCCCGCTTCTTCATCATTTTCTTGCATGGCGGTTACTGACTTCCTTATCTCTTTTGCGTGATGGAGCCTGTCTTGTGCCGGACAAAGCGGATGCTCTTTACTGCTTCCTTTGCTGTTTTTGTCATCAGTCCCGCTGTGATCTAGTTGAAGTATCGTCTTGCCATGGGCTATCGTTTGTGGTTTCAAGCCTTGCTGTAGTTCGGCGTTGCCGTTTTGCGCCAGGCTGGATCTATGGTGCTGAATCCTACCGACATGCCAGAGGCAGAGAAGGCCGGAACAAAGACAGTTTTGGGGTACCCCTAAAAATTGCACGCCCACATTGAGGTTTTGGAGTGGTGGAAGCTGGGTGGCAACGAGCAGACCATCACCTTCATTTCGCAGGCAACTGCACAGCACCACATGTTGTGGTGCAATCTTTCCAGAGGAAGCCCCTGGAAAAAGAACATGCTTCTGGTCGATGATCCCCGATGTCCAGCTGGCTAGACCACCGGCGTTCCTGGTGGTGGTCGAGTTGCTGGTAAGAATGCGGATGCGATGGAGATGAAGAAGCTTTCCGAACAGGCAGGGATGTTCACTCCAGGACCATGCTAGAAGGCGTCTCACTTGGGAATATCTCACAAGAGCTGAGGTGTTGGGTGAGCAAGAAATGTACTCAGTGTACTGCCGCCTTGCGTCCGTTATTGCCTTAGAATTCCGGAATAACCCAAGGAACCATGGGGCAATTGAGCCGAGGTGCAGCTTCGAAAGAAGGACGAGGTGCAGCCCAGCGCTCAGGGTGGTTCATGTCGGTCCTGGCATCCGATATTCTTTGGTTTCCCAACAGCCCGCCTCCCCACGCCCCAAAATGGCTTTGCTTTTCCTTTTGGTTCCCCTTTAGGGTACCAACTCCAAAAGGGAGAAACCGAACCCACTTCAGGCCTTTGTGCTACATCGCCTGCTTGGAGCCCAAAGAGGGAAACAAGTTGCCGTGCAACCGCCGGGTGGATGAGAACGGCTTCTGCGCCACCTGCCAGAAAGCCGGGAAGGCCCCGGCACGAGACCGACAGGGAAGAAGGAGTCGCAAAATGGTCGGTTTGCTTCAGGAGGATATGCCCTCCCCCCAAAAAAGGGGTCCAAGTACATGAACAGAAAGGAAGCAGATCGGTTTTCCCTGCGCCCCGAGAAATCCATGCTGAACTCTAGCAGGTGGCTCCAAGGCTGAACTTGCGCTGCCGCTTTGACGATGCACCTCGGTCGATGTGAGCCACGAAGAAGATGGGCATGTTTTTTTGGTGTACCCTCTTCGGGTTTGTTTTGCATGGACACCAAAGCGAAGCCTCATTTGTTTTGAGGCAGTCTTCTTTTTATTGGCTGTTCTAACGGGACACCTTCACAGCAGCCATTTTATGTTTTCCGTACTTGAAGAGAGATGGCACTGATTTAGGAAGGACATGCGGGAACTGCCGAAAGTCCGCTATTATTCCACAACCAATGATGATGACTTCGAAGTGGACCACTCACATTCCACAGGAAACAGGACGTCTTTTTGGTTGTTTTTCATATGATGTCCACGGCTCGCTCGTTTGGAAGGCATCCGGTTCCGGATCCGGTGGAAGTCGTGAGGCCAGCGCTCACTTCTGGGTCACGACGTTCCATCCGGCAGCGGAGAAGGTCTTGTCCCTCACAGCCCAGGAGGTGCGAAGGTGTCTTGAGGAATGGGACGCAAAGTTTTGCCTTTCCCTTTGAAACCAGAGCAAGGTGCCCTCGAAAGCCCGCTGAGCTTGTCGCCGAGCTTGCGGCTCCGCGTGAGTCTTCAGGTGCAGCAGCTGGAGCAGGAGAGCCGCGAGGCAAACCAAGGGCTGAAGCTGAGGGCTGCCAATTCAAAGAGCACAGGGGTGTGTCATTTTTGGGGGACCCCCCCAAAAAGGTGGTGTTTGGCTTGGTTTTCCTTCACAACACCAAAAGGGGCGCTCTCAAGAAAAGACACACCCACATGGCCGTCCTTTTGTTTGTCGCGATGGCTTCAGGTCTGTGAAAGCAGACTGAAGGAAGCCTACTATGGCGAGGTCATGCAGGCTCGGCTCTTGCTCCATTCCATCCACACAGAGCTCTGGGACAGGTCCACTTGCGCGCAAAGCCGGACAACTACAACGGCGAGTCCGGGCCTTGGGCATGGGCGAGTCTCGTCCTCGGCTTGGAGTCTGACTCAATCAACTTGGACCAACTTTGTATCAACCACACCCTGGCCCCAGTTGGACAACCAAAGGCAGGTTGTTTAGAAAATGGGAACATGGTAACATGTGGGTGCGGCTCAACAGTAGGTACCCAGAATGGGACCCGAGTAGACTAAAACCTGCAGTCAGCAGTCCCCTGGCTTAAATTTGGAGCCACACCGATGTCGAAACGACATGGCACCCTGACTCGAGGACGCGGACCAACATCTCCTGCGTGGCTGCGCAGCCGGTCCCAGTTCGAGAGCACTCTCGCATCATGCAGGGGCCCAAGCTTGCTAGAGGCCATGTGAGGCGTAAGCGGATGCCGTTTGGTTGGGGGCACCGGGATCCCAAATTGGGATCTTTCGTTACTGAGGCTGAAGGAGATTGATGAGCTCCTGGCAAAGTCCTGGGCATGCCGCTTGGATCAAATCAGATTGCCATGATGCATTGCTCAACTTTGCATTGACTGCTCAGGACTGAGCGTTGCGTGGGTTTGAGCATGTGAGAACACATGCTGATCTCATGCCGTGCATAGGGCAGAGGCACTGCAGCTTGCAGTGGCTCTCGGGGTTACTGCTGATGGACCGTGGAGTTTAACTGCATCTCCATTGAAATCATACTTGACAATGAATAAAGTTCAGCAGTTACAGTACATATTTGCAGCGCAATCATGGGGATGCATGTTGCTCTTGGGGTGGAGCCATCAGCAAGGTTGTAAACTACGGGTCTAGCTGGAGGCCATCAGTCGTAGAATTCTGGCTAGACTTGAAGTATGGTAGGCAAAGCTTGAAGACTGGGGCAATCGGCCAATGTACAGCTTGCTTGAAGATGTCTGCCAAGCTCCCGGGGCGGAGTGGGCTGGAAAAGAGGTACTCCAGAGAGCCAAAAACAGAAATACGCATGTCTTCAGGCTCAAAGCTGTTTTTTTTTTTAGCAGCATTGCTTGGTATTAGCCGATGTTTATGGTTGCAAGGGTGCTGGCTTAGCCACTGCCTGTACACTTAGTCGACTGGCAGCAGTTGAAGAATTGGCTTTTGGGCTCAAGTCGCAGTCGCCACGTTGTAACAGCTCCGAGGTTCTGGTTTTGAGGGGAAGAAACGGCTTGTTTGACGATATCCTTAGGCAAACCAAAAGGCAGCCACTGTGGTATTGTATTTGGAAGAAACTTGGCGGGTGTGTGGCAAGCAAGTATTTTGTGACAGGAATTCCACTCAGGAATCCGTGTAGACTGTGCTCGATTTTCTTGGCTCAGCAAAGCTTTACAGTGCCGTGTCTTGCCGTGCAAGCATCCCAGGCAGGTGCTTTGCACTGGCATCAAGAAAAACGATGAATCTCCTGACTTTATGCTGGATGAAGGAAACTGCTGCCAACATGACCGTCAGCGAACAGATGTTCTTTCCGATTCGCGAGCTGTCCACTTACCAGGCAGCAATGAAGATTCATTGCGGTAGACCTCGCACAGTTCGCTTTGCGTCAGGGCTCCAAGTGGACCATCAAGGGCAGGGTGACGAGCCGCGCTCCCATGTGCCCTGGCTGCATGCTGCTTTTTCGTCGGGTCGGCTGTGCAGCAAACATCAGGAGAACCTTCCAGCAGCGCAATGGCACTGGTCAGGGCATGGAGCTGCTCTCACAGTGTTTTTGGATGGTCCAAGCTGAATGAAACGAGTTAGGTCTTCCATGTCGAGCTCTTGGATAAGGAAGGCCTGACCGGGGCTTTGGGTGGGTTTCACCCGTGAATAGCATGTGTTTTGAAAGGCGGCGAGATCCGCGCGAGCTTCTTCAATGAAGCTGCGGAGAAGCTCTATGACCTCATGGAGGCGGGGTTTTGGCTGCGGGTGCGCGTGAGGCTTGGGAAACAGTGTGGGAAAACACAGGGGACTCGCATCGTAGACACGAAAAACAACAAGGGACGGAATTTCACCTGAGCCACAATCAAAACCCGGGTAGATGAAGGTTAGAAAGGGGTAGTCCCAGCCAGAAGTAGTTGCGGCCGCCTTCTTAATTATTTTCATGGTTTTGGGTAGACCATATACCGGGTTTTGATTGTGACTCACCTAAGTTCTCCCTCCATTGCATCGCAGATCAGAACTCGACTCAAGGTGGGCAAGTGCTTCACGCTGAGCAAGGGAAGTGTGCGAATCGCCAACAAGCAGTACAACACCTGCCATGCTCTGAGAGCTCTCTCGTTCGTGGAGTGAGACAGACCGTGAGACAGGGTCAACCCAGTAAACCAAACCGGCAGCCAGCTCCCATCGTGGGCAGACTAACCCGCTTTTTTAATGGATCTTCTTGCCAACACAAAGATTCCCAAGAGAACGTTAAATTCATCCTCAATGTATATAGCTCGAGCCCGCCTAAAACACAGACCCGCCACCAAAATGGCACCCTGACACCGTAAACCAACCGCAAAGTCGCCCAAAAACAACGCTCGATCCATCCGAATCAAGGACTCGGGAAGCAGAGAATGGCTGAGGCAAGCACCGTTACGAGCTGGTCTTCGACAAGATGTGCCAGGCAATCGGACCTCGAGTCGTGTCCCAACTCGCCGCGGGGTTTCTTGGGGCCATTCACAGCGGATGATTTCGAAGCCTGGATCATTGGATTGGCTTCATTGGTGGGGCAGGTGGATCCCGTGGAAGATGACAGCAGCATTGACACCGTAAAGCAGATGCCTCACATTGCGGCAAGGCAACCCCCAGCTGCATCAATCAACTGAACGTGCGTGCTACCGTTGTCAGAGCTGAGGTTTGCAATTGAGAACATCCGCTCAGTGCCGATCTCAATTCCAGCGTGACAGCATGAACATTTGTCCATTGTGCAGCCAGAGACGTTTGCCTTTTTGCATTTTCAAAAGCACCTGCCGAGGTTCAGGGGAAGACACTGCGAGAGCCTTGGAGATCCGTACGAGTTGTCTACTCTTTGATTCATTGATTCACGAGCACATTCCTGCACCTCATCTCTGCTTGCTGGGGAAAGCAGCAAGTGACCTTGCTGATGATGGTAGCGAGTGAGCGTGACGGGGCACCAATTCAGACTTGGTTGCCCGTATTCCGAATCTGAAAGATGCATCTTCATGCCCACCTAAATCTCCCTCCCCCCTCTCCCTCCCTCTCCCTCATATTTTTTGTAATGACTGATCCCATACACCCAGCGCAAATCTCGCTAAGATTTGAGGAATCCTGTTTCCAGCGTACTCGCAGATGCAAGATACCCATCGCAAGCAGACTCTGACAGGACAGGGGCGCTGGAAGTAGGTTCATACCGCAAAGCAATATTTTGACTCTTTTGACACCGTCTACAATCTATCAGCTGTAGAGGCAAGGTGCTGTGGCATGCATCCTAGGCACATGTTTGATGTTTTCCTGTGATTTTAAGCATGATGCATTGCTTTGTGCAGCGCTAGACAGTCTGCAGCATCTCTGGAATGCTGGCAAGATTATTTGGAGCCTTGATCCCGCGAGCATCAAGGGCTACTCAACGCACATACATACATATATATATATATCATACTATATTCATCCTCATTCTTCTTGTTCTTGCTGCTCTCCCTAACATGGCAAAGGCCCAAAGCTTTTTGTTGGCAATTGCCGGGCAAAGGCGGTCTGCAATTTGTTCGCGAGTCAACCCTCTCCGCTTCTGGCCAGCCAAGTGAAGTTGGCCTGCCCGAAAAATCCGCGGCTTACTTGACCACATCTAACGAAAGTGGCCTAGGATTAAGTAGCGTGAGTAGTGCTATCCGTGGCTCAGAAACCACGAGCTCGCAATCATGATTTGTCCCCTTGGCCGCTTGGAGCGTCGCAGGCCTTGCAGTGTGGACATTTGCGGCATCATCACGGCGGCCGACCCCCCGATTGCCTTCGAGTCCAAGGATAAGCCCGGCACTTAGACGGCGGTCTAGTGACTACATCTTGGGGTTGCAATATGAATCTATTCAATCTATTCTGTATACTGTATACTCGTACATACACATATTTGTAAATATATTCGCATATTATAAATCTACCTGCCTATCTATCTATCGATCGATCGATCAGTCGATCACCCCTATCAGGATTGGTATCAACAACCTGTGAAGCATCAACAAGCAAACTTATTTGGCATCAAACTAAACTCTTTAGGCATCATAGACCCCACATAAGACATAGTGCATGGGAGATTCCAACAGCACCATGGCTGCATCGCGAAATAAGCGCCACCAGCACCACCACGCCACCTTGAGCACACCAAGCAGCACTCTGAGTAGCACCCGCAACAGCGCCCTGCCTGATTTCACAAACAATCACCAAAAACAACTATGCTCGCAGCATGGCACCAAGAACAGCACTCCCCCCCCCCGGCACCCTACTGCAGCGCCAAACATGCACCGCCAACAGCACCCTAACTGCATCGCACAGCGGGCGCTGCCGGCAACCACCATAGCACCTTCAGCGTACCCACCTGGCCCGAACTCGCAAAACAACCTGCTTCCTTTTACAAGCAGGAACCCCTGAGCTTTCAGCTGTCTCGGGAAACAGCCCCTGACCAGCACCCTGACCAGCAGCCTGATCAGCACTCGAACTGTCGATCTATCGAACTAGTCGATCTATCGACCTATTGTCCACGAACAACCGATCTATCGATCTATTTGTCAACAGAGCTATTTATCTATCTGATTGCCCCCCCATGGACAGACCTGTACTCAAGCCAAGACACCGGACATGCCGTTTTTCAGTGTGTCTTGCCCTTCAACAAAGGGCCGAATTGGCACTCCTCCTAGCAACTGCCAGAATATGCAAGAAACGCTTTTAACGCTTTCAAACAACTTTGGGCACAATTTTCAGTGGACCGAAGATTCAATCCAGGTCAGCAAAGCCTCCAACAAACGCTTTTATTGCATATCGAGGCCCTTCTTGTTCGGTATGGGACATGCTCAGTCCTTTTGTGTGCAAGGGCAAACATAAAGGATGATGTTTTTTCTTCCCCACGCTGTTTTGCTTTTCTTGCTGGTTGGTTGGTTGGTTGGTTGGTTGGTTGGTTGGTTGGTTGGTTGGTTGGTTGGTTGGTTGGTTGGTTGGTTGGTTGGTTGGTTGGTCAGTTGGTTGGCCAGCCTCACTTGGACCTGGGGTTGCCTGTTGCCTCTGATTGGATGGCAGTTGGGAGTTGCTCGGGACTGGTTTAATTTGGACGTGAAGAGGGCGGGTCTTGGGTTTGTTTGGGGTTCATTTAAGCGAAGCATTTGTCTGACATCCAGACTGCTATTGGGCAGATTTAGGGTTGACTTTGGGTGGGCTTGGGGTTGGCTTGGAGCTGATTTGTGTTAGATGTGCTGCTGGTTTAGCAGCGGCTTTGGGGTTGCTCTAGGGTGTGTTTAAGTGAGCTTGGGTCTCGTTTTGGATTGGTTTTGAAGCGATACGAAAACTAGCCCGCAACTCATGCAACCACATCCCTAACGCACACTCAAAGTCACCCCTAAACCAGCAGCACAGCCAACGCACATTTGCTCCAAGCCAGCCCCAAACCCACCCAAAGTTATCCCCAAATCCGCCCAACAGCAGCCTGCAGACAAAGATCCACATCAGAGCCAACAGGCAACCCCAGGTCCAAGTGAGGCTGGTGATGCTGGGGGCGTGGCCAATTTGCCAAATGGCCGCTGATCCATGTTTTTGATGAGCTTTCCTGGTATTGGCTTGGCTCAGTTTTGCTTGATGAGATGAGGAAATCCAACCCTTCCTTAGCTTGATGTTGATTCCATTTTTTGGAAGACAACCTTTCCACGACGTTTCTCCAGATCTGGTTTTTGTGAAACAAACCAGAGGCCCCCACCCCTGAATCGTCATGTGCAGTGCTTTTCGAATAGCCATTCCGGCTTGGGAGTGAGCAAGGAGCCCCGCGATGTGCGGAGCAAAAGTTGCTCAGTGGTAGCGGAGCCTCGGTTCTGAAACCGGGGTTAGGTCGACATGGCCGGTGCCTCTGAGAAGACGGAGGAGACGCAGAAGGTCTCCTACGGCAAGGATGCTCCTCCACCGATGTGGGACGGAAGTTCGCCCCACGTGGAGTTCCCACGCTATGAGAGGGACGTGAAGCTTTGGTGCTTCGAGACGGAGACGGAGGACAAGAAGAAAGGGGTTCGCCTCATGAGGAATAGGATCCACATCGAACAGCTGAAGTTGAGGACAAGGTGCGCGCGATGTGGGACCGTGGGGCATTGGGCTCGTGAATGTCGGGCAGCCCAACCAGACCAACGAGGACAAGAAAATGCCCGACGCTTTGCAGCCACGTCGTCGGCCTCTTCGGTGGCCTCCAGGAATACCACAGCAACGAGCGCTACGAACAAGACATGGTTCTGCAGCCTGGAGCCGCACGTAGAAGGCGAAGGGGAAAAGGGGAGCATTAGGACCAGTTACTGTTTCTTGGGAGGAACGGTGGGACGGTCCGATGCCTGCCAGGCTGAGTGGAAGGGGAACACTCAGAGTCTGAGAGTGAGAGGCAATTTTTCCCAGACAGGGAGTGCAGTGTGGGAGAGCGGTCACAATGATTTTGGGGACATTGTGAAGGAGCAATCCCAGGAAGTAGAAAGTTTTTGTGGTATCTCAACTGCACCCCATCATGCAGTAGTTGATACAGCCGCTCAAGATGGTCTCATCGGAGAGCAGGCGCTGAAGAGTTTACAGGAAGCCTTGGCAGGCTTCGACTTGCAGCCTGTCTGGACAAACCGGAAGGGAAGAGCACAGGGAGTTGGAGGACGCGCGCAAACACTCGGGATAGTCTCTCTGCCTTTGGGACTTGATGGGGTTCACGGGATATTGGAGACTACGGTCGTCAAGGAGATGGTACCCCTCTTGATTCCCATAAAGCTCCTTCGTCAGCTTGAGGCCGTCATCGATTTGCCGAACATGCTTTTGAAGTTGTTTGGGGGCAAGCGCACTTTGCCGATGCAACAGCTGCCAAGTGGGCATGTGACGGTTGATGTATTGAACTTTGGCCCTGGGAAATTCACGGTGGGCAGCGAGGCCAAAGGTAGCGGTTATCACGCAAAGCAGTTTCGACTACCGGGTGCCGCTGCTTCGGCTTCGATACCAGCCCCGTCAATGAGAAAGGTTTTCAATACTCGCCTTTTCCAGCAATGCCGCTTACCTTGGTGGGCAAGATCAAGGAGGCGGACCTCACGCCGATCCAAGTCAAGGCAAAGGTGAGCGAGGAGGCGCTGGTTCACATCAACCCGAGAAGAGCGCTCCGAAACTGGAGGGTCCTTCTAGATCGCTACCTGGACCTGAGCGACTTTGTGGCCCTTCACGGATGGGTATCAGAATGGCTGTCAATTGGGCCGTTGGAGGAGGTGCAGGGCTATCGTGCGTCAATTGGGATGGGCTTATGGGGAGCATTCGCCGAGCTCATCAGGAACGCCGAAGAACTGCCACCAATGAAGAGCAAGACAGGAATGCCAGCGCCCGCCTCATCAACTCAAGGGTGGAGGCAACAAATTCCAGAGCTACGTGGTGTGCCATCAGTGCAATTCGAGATGGCGATTGGAGCTGACGGTCGCGGAGGTCAAGGAGCTGATCAAGGAGGGCAAGCCGCTGGGCGGGCCGAAGAAGCCGATCACGGACAACACCAAGGGCAAGGGCTCCAGCCAGGAGATGCACAAGGCAGAGTCGGAGAAGATCGAGGAGTACCGGAGAGAGATGTTCCAGATGAGGCGCAAGATGGAGCAGATGGCACAGGCCCTGAAGCACGTGGAGACCATGCAGACGCTCTCGGGCATGGGGTCGGAGGATCAGATGGAGATAGACGAGAAAAGCCCATGGGATCTGATTCCACGAGATCCTCAAGCGGAACCTCATCCTCAGACAGCACAGACACGCAGAGCGATGAGGACCATTTCCAGGTCATCAAAGAGCCTACGCCGGAGTCAATGAGCCAGTGGTGTAAAGTGAAGAACGCAGAGACCGGATGGGGCGCTGGGCAAATGTGCAATGGATGGTTTACCGTGAAAGAAGTTAGGGAGACCCTGGACGGCGTCTACGCGAAGGTTCAGCCGTCGCACAGGTTCATTAGTGAGGAGATGGTGGAGCAACCGGAGGACTTGAATCGACACGTCCGAAAGAGGTTGCGGAAGGCGATGGATCAACTGCCAGACGCGGAGAAGAAGGAGGTGGACGTAGCAGAGGTCTTTTCGCCACCGAGGGTGGTTCCGGTGGCCAAACAAAAAGGGCTAAATCCTGGAGGCTCCTTCGACATCAAGAACGGTTTTGACCTGAGGAGTGAGCAAGGTCGGAGGAGGATGTGGAGGGCCCTACGCGAGCAGCAGCCGCTGATGATCCTGCTGAGTCCGCCGCGCACAGCCTTCTGCAAGCTGCAAAGCCTGAACTATCCCAAAATGGACTGGGACAAGGCGATCACTCTGCTCAACGCCAGTGTGGAGGACATGGAGCTACGCGCAGGAATCATGCGGTGGCAGCACCGACGAGGGCGACTGTTTGCTTTCGAGCAGCCCGATGGTTCCAAGGCTTGGGAAGAGAAGCCTATACAGGGCGTGCGAGAAATGGAGGGCGTTATGGTGGTGGTGAATCACATGTGTGCCTTCGGGATGAATGTCGATGGGACTGGCCTCAACTACAAACCAACGAGGTGGATGACAAATTGCTGGAGGTGGCGGAGGAGCTCGATAAGCAGTGCAGGCGATCATTCCCATGTCACCCTGATGAGCGGAAAAGCCTCAAAAGCGGCGATATATCCTCATGCTCTATGTGAAGCGATCGTTGTGGGTCTAAAGAAGTACATCAGGAGGAAGAAGGTTGTGCGGTTTGCTGGGAGCTACTACGACGACACCGAGCTCTTCGGCAAGGACGAGGTAGAGCAGGAAAGCAAGATGAGAGAGGGCGAAGACGATGGGA